TAAAATTTTGGGTACGTGTGACGTCACACAGCCAAGAATCTGTGAATGGCTTGATTTGAGGAAGGGGTTATCATTTATCGGGATTGGAAAAAAAAAAAAAAAAAACTCTGGGGGGATTTTTATCATTGTCTGTTGTGTACACACACTGCCAAGACACATTTCAAACAACATGTAAAAGTGAATTTTGCATCCGATGACCCCTTTAAAATATATATTTTTGAGTAAATAAGAATAATTAAAAGCAGATAGAACAGAAATAGAATAGAGCGTGCTAATGTTAGAGCGTCACTTTTTCAGAGGACTTTTATGAAGAACAGTGAGCATTTTAAATGCTCAGGGACTCATGAACAACTAGCACAAAACAAAGAACATCCATCCAGATAATGACATGCAGTATTAAGAATCAAGCGTATGCACATTTTTTTCATTTGTGTTCAATCTTGTCTTGTGATCAATATGTGAACATTTATTATGTGAGGTCGATTAGTCAGGGCAGTGCTATAAATAATATAAAAAGATGCCTTTACTTGATTAAATGATTAAAATGTTGCATATTTTGCAAAGGGTATGTAAACATATGAGCAGAACTGTGTTATGAATCATGATGTGTGTTGCGTGTTGTTCATTTAGTGAAGGCAATCCGTGAGACTCTTGTCTAATGAGTAAATGTGTGAATCAATGTTCTTCTGCTGTTTGTTAGCATGTGTTACATTATGAATCCAGACATATTTCTTTACCTACTATCTGTAGAAGAACATTTTCACAGCACTTTGCTGTTGTGTAATTTTGTTTAACTAATAATAACTTAATTTATTTTTCAGGTGTGCCTGGTGTTTGTACATATTATGGAGTGTCACAGTCTGTGATGGAGGGAGAATCGGTGACTTTACCCTCTGGTGTTGAAACGAACAAACAAAAAAAGTTGAGATGGTATTTTAATGACATTCTCATTGCTGAAATCAGTGGAGATCTCGGTTATCGTTGTACAGATGTTCAGTGTAAAGATTCTGATAAGAGATTTAGAAACAGACTGAAGCTGAATCCTCAGACTGGATCTCTGACCATCAAAGACAGCACAACCACCGACTCTGGAGTTTATAAACTAAAGACGATAAGAAACAGCGGAGACAGTGTAAAGATCTTCATTGTTACTGTGCATGGTGAGTCATTACGTTTATGCTGCTGCGCATCTGTGTTGCTTGGTAGCCTCTCTTCTAAACATTCCTGAACTATATTGCTATACAAAATTTAAATTATGAAATTATAATATTCTTGTTTTATGACATCTTGCCAGGTATATGAAGTAATTATTTTATGAAAGCAATTAGCCCTGTGAAGTTTGAGGCACTCGGCTCTGCGTTGTGCTTAGCGACACACTTGGCTGCTTTAAAATCACTGTAAGCCATGGCCTAACAGACTTATTGCTTTAATTTAGTTCAGTAAGATTTAAAGTTGATTTGTTTTTAGTCTTAGCAGTTAGTTTTGGTTCATAAAGAGCTGCATTTGTGTTTTGGTCTAAATTAAAGGGAAAGTCCCCCCAAAAATGAACATTTAATTACTCACCCTCATGTCGATCCAAACCCGTAAGACCTTCATTCATCTTCGGAACACAAATTAAGATATTTTTGATGAATCAGAGAGCTTTCTGTCCCTGCATAGACAGCAACACAACTACCAAGGCCCAGAAAGTTAGTAAGGACATCGTTAAAATAGTCCATGTGACATCAGTGATTAAACCATAATGTTATGAAGCTACGAGTAATGTCTTTATTAAACAATTTATTCTCTTCCATGTCAGTCTGCAACACACGTTCACCAAAGTACCAAGATGCATATGTGTGCATTCCTCTGCTTGCAAACAAGGCTGTGTCAGCAGCACCACATGCATGCATTGTGTACTCTCGTGAACATGTGAATTCCTTTTATCTATTCCTTTTATTAAACTAAAAATGTCTTTGGGGGGTCAACTCGCATCTACTTTCAAGGTGAAGCATTTGGCATTTTTCACAGCATGTTCCTGTCATTTTGATCGGCTTATAATAACTGTTCATTTCTTCTTCAGGTTTTTTCAGTATTAATACAGAAGAAGAGTCAGCATTTGTGATGGAGGGAGATTCAGTCACTCTACACACTGATGTTAAAACAAATCAACAAGAAAAGATTAGATGGTATTTTAATGATGCTCGTATAGCTCAAATCACTGGAGATCTCAGTTTTATCTGTACAGATGTTCAGTGTGAAGAAGGTACTGAGAGATTCAGAGAGAGACTGAAGCTGGATCATCAGACTGGATCTCTGACCATCAGAGACATCAGAACCACAGACTCTGGACTTTATCGTCTACGTATCATCAGCAGCAACAGCATCAGTGAAAAGATCTCCATTCTTGCTGTATATGGTAAGTCATTATGTGTAAAAACAAGTCATGTACATTAAAATGTTGCCGTGACATTGTGGTTTTCTCTTTATCTGTATATTAGTTCATATACAGGTAATTTTGTCAAACGCACATTTACTGTTGAAGTGGAATTTGTATATTTAAATATATCTTTATTTCAGTATGATTCAAAACATTGCTTTTCCATTGATTATTTATTAATGGGATAATTTAGTCTTCTGATGAAGATGAAAGTTATATTATTGTCTGTTTAAATGCATCTGTTACTCAGTTTATTTTTCTTAGTTCATCAGGAATCCAAAGTGCAGAGGATTTGATAAAAAAATGCTTATTAGCAAAATTTAGGATACATTTTGGTTTTTAGACAAAGTAAAGAGGATTCCACAGTTCACTCATATACTGTGTTCTCCTCAAAAAGATCTTCCAGCAGCTGTTGGTTTGTGTTTCAGATGCTCCTGAGCAAGATCAAATGAAGAGAAAGTCAGTGAAGGAGGGAGAATCTGTTACTTTAGGTCCTGGTGAAGTTAAAAACCTGAATTATTTTATGAAATGGTATTTTAATGACACTCTCATCGCTGAAATCACAGGAGATCCCAATAAAACCTGTACAGATGGTCAGTGTGAAGATCCTGATGGAAGATTCAGAGACAGACTGGAGGTTAGTCAGTCTGGATCTCTGACCGTCAGAAACACCACAATCACAGACTCTGGGCTTTATAAACTACAGATCAACAGCAGCAACAGAATCAGTATCATCAAGATATTCAGCGTTATTGTCACTGGTGAGTATCATTAGCCATTCCTTGCACATTCCTTTGCAGTTTTAGAAAACCGTTTGAAATATGTAAATCAACCCAGTGAAGGATTTCATTGTGGGCTGTTAGAAAGAGTGAGCTTTGGTTCAGTGTTAAAATATAACTGAGATCATCTCAGTCACCTTCACATGCTTATCACATTGAGTTTTGTTACATTATGAATTTGACCATTTTCAAGTCTATTGTTGGTAATGACAGAAAGGCATAATATTAGTTAGCTGTCCTGTAAACGCTGCTGTCTCTTGTTGCGGTTTTACCTGCTGTTCATCAAAAATCCACCAGATTTATGAAATAAATCAATATCATACTGGTGACCTAGAAAAGTGTAAATATCAGTCAAAGCTATTGGTAAAATTGATATTAGTCAATCTCTAGAAGTAATGCTTGTCTGTCTTTAGCTGTTCCAGATTCAATAGTGTCTTCAGCTGCTAAAGAAGGAATATATGCTGTTGTTGTTGTTGTTCTGCTGTTTACGGCTGCTGCAGCAGCTGCTGCTGTGATTTACTATCGCCACAGGAAATCTACACAAGCAGGACGAAATGGCAAGCATTGCATACAGCTAATTTGACAAGATTAGATTTATTCCAATTAACCTAATTATTGTGTTTAATTTAATTTGTTGTTGTTGAAACAGGCATCATTAGGCTGCACAGTTACAATGAGGTGAGATACTATATGTGCACTGTCTTTCTTTTTGCAAAAAAAAACAAAACTGAATTTTCATATTGATTTCTGTGAGATCTGCAAATCTCACAATTATAAGTCTGTCTGAGATTTCAGAGTGTATGTAGTTTCATTCAGAAATTATTACATAGAAACAGCAATTAAAAACATACTGTTAAAAGAATATGGTGGAATTCTCTTTTAAATGTATATGTCATATCATGTTATTGTATTAGTAAACAAAAATATTATGACGTTTTTGGATCTCTAGATTAATTTATGGTGTGATCAGCCATGATTAGAAGCTTTAGGCAATCAGACTATTGTGCATTAATTTCCAATGGATTCAACATTTTGTAAATATTATGAAATGCACT